TTTGTTCAATGATGTACACAGGTCACTCCTCGTCTCGTCTTATGGAAAATTTACAGACAATTTTGTTACTTATTATAAACGTGATATTGTCTTTTTTAACTTTCCTGCTTCCTTGGTTTGAGATAGGTTGTTTGTGTTACATAATCAAGGGCTTTTATCCTCTTGAGTTGTCGTAATGATATGGCAAATGTGTATTTATAGAGTTTTACTTTCGAATAAAACATAACTTACAACTAGAAAGTATCAAACTTAAAACATTATTTGATGTTAAGGTCAAGGTTTTAGGGTCAGACCCGAGCGTACGGCGGCGCGTGGCGTCACACAGGCATCTCAAAGAGCCATCAAACCACCACAGATGGGGCCCAAGAGGGCTGATGCCGATGCGGAGACGCGGAGAACGTAAAAGGTTACCGAGGCTCCGGCTCGAAGTGCAGGAGTCGGAACGGGGTAGTTTTTAGTCAGTAAGAGTGTGACACTCACTCCCGCCTCACCTAGGCGGGAGAAGACATTTTATGATTTTTCCCCCTTAAAAAAAGGGTCAGTTTTTATAAAGAATGCAGCCGGTAGTGGCTTGAGGTTGATAGTTAGATCATCGACAGTTTAGTTGGTACCTTTTCCGTCCCTTGGTATTTTGTTATACTTTAAAGACCTACCTGGGTCCACCGGTTTTATAATATCCATACAGATATTCAGCTTTTAAATATAAAAACGACTTTAGCATTAAAAAAAAACTCAATTATTTACATTGTGAACTGGGTAAGGGCTTACTGTTCACGACGCTACATTTGACGATTACCTTCGTTAAACAGCGATAGGCGAATTTGTTGTTGCCACTTCGTGGACAATTTTCATTATCTAATGCAGGCTCCACACCTTCAGTTTAACTGAAAAGTCGAATTGTAAAATTCAATCGTATAGGTCCATACAGCCTACACATCTTACGATTCAACTGTTAAACTGCACAATTAAAGTAACGTGTATGTCCTGCATTAGCATGATGCAAGGATTCGTCATTTGTAGGCCGCCTAATGTAATTAAATTTGTAGGTTGTATACATTCGTCAAATGACGCGTCGTGAACAATACGCCTTAAGATTAGATGAAGCAATGTTCAAATGTGAAGTGCTGGATTATTCATTACATTTTCAAGTTCTAGTTTCATTTCGAAATGATTGGGTTATTGTCTGACACGTAAGATAAATGTATGGATTAAGTTGTTAGATTTCTTTTTCTAAGGATAGATATCTTGTCATATTAATATTGTGCAACTTGATGTAAGATTTGTAGTTCATACGCTTACAGACCATGTCTTTACCTATAACGGATTTCAAACCGTATTCTTTTGTATTTAAGTAGAAAATCTGTTATGAAACCTCTGGGAAATGATTATTACAAAACTTTACTTTGTTTTTTCTATAAATAATTTAACTTCTTATAAGTATTACATCTCATTATAATTTTACATGAAGTTAATTTAATTTCTATAGAATTCTATAAATCTTATGTTCTAATTCGTTCCATAATTAGCATCAATTAGTCTCAATCACGTATCTATGTGATTGTGAATTCATTAACGAAATAGGTACATGTTTAGAGACTGGATTATAAGTTCTTTGTACTAGATAATTAAGATTATAATTGAACTTGCTATTGGTAGATTCCTTCACATATTACCTAATGTATCTTTCGAATTTTCGCTTTGTCCATTTTTAGGTTCATGGGGTTTTTGCAGTGACGTATATTTTTCTATTCGTATTTATAAATATCATTGCACTAGCTACTTCCGCGCGGTTTCACACGCTCTGCTCGGCTCCTATTGGCCGTAACGTGATGTTTTATAGCCTATAGCCATCCTCGATAAATGCGCTATCCAACACAAAAATAATTATTCAAATCAGACTTGTAGTTACGGAGATTCGCGCGTTGAAACAAAAAACAAACTCTTCAGCTTTATATAATACTTAGTATTAGTATTAGTATAAGATTATCCCTTGTTTTGGTATCTTAAGATTTTGGATATATTTTTCATTTGATTGTTTACAATAAAATGTTATCCTCCGAATTATTACAATATGTCATATTTATTTCCATAAAATGTTCCAAACAGGGTCAATGGATTCTTATTACAAACATTAACTTTGTAAACAACCTTGTTGTCAAGTAAATACAGTTTCATTTTGCATAAAAAAGGTAAGTTACGAGAAAAAGTTGCGAAATATTTTGAGTCCTAATTGTTTCCAACTGAAAATTGTCCAACGTTGAAAGTATAGACAGATTAACATTTTACTTTATTCAATTTTCAACTTTATGGTTCTGATATAAAGTCCAAAATTCAATTAAAAAGGCAATCGGAGAAGCTGACCAGTCTGTTCGAGAGTTACATTCATGTTACAACATACTTAGTATACCTAAGTACTAACTGTTTGGGTGCTCGTCTTGGTCTTTGGTCTCATAAGGATAAAGAAAAAAAGCAATAAGGACAAATTATCTAAAAACCTAATTCTAAATTTTGTGTTTAACCTCAAAAACTGTTGTTCGGTTGTGTTGTGTTGTTGCCAAAAATACATTTGATCAGGATATTTCGAAAACGCAGTCTTTGATTTTAAAAATGTTTACAAGGTCATATGAGTCAATCGCCACGGGATTCTGAACTTTATTGCTTTTATAAGTACACCAGAAAAAAATAGGAATGAACATAAAAGTGGAATACAGCTTTAATGATATAACTGTTTGGCCCTTCCTTCAATTATTAAACGTAACTGTTGTCTGCCTTCAAAATATCAACTTTACTTTAATATTTCAATAATTAATACTCTGTCTATCCCTTCGAGATAAAACGCGTGACGAATCTTCTAGATAATAACATATTCTAATAATATTATTCATTAACTGCCTCATTGGCCGAGTTGTCACAAGTGCGACTGCCGAGCAAGGGGTCTCGAGTTCGATTCCCGGGTCGGGCAAAGTATTACTGAGTTTTTCAAAGTATTTACAGTAGTAGCACGGAGTCTGGAATTGTGCTCGGTATGTGGTAAAAGGTTTAACCACATGGGACTCATAACATAATTATTGAAAAGTGGGTGTTATATTGTACAGTGGCATAATGTACACCTCTGCCTACCCCTTGGTGGATAAATGAAATCGTAAGTCAATTCATATGTATATAGTAAAAAGCGGTTATTTTAATATTACAAATAGACACTCCGATTTTATTTATTTGTATAGATATATAGATTTCATGAGTAGGTGTGTCTTTCGATAGAATTAGGTTTCTTAAACTGTCAAACACCAAGCGGTCACCGTTGACCGCAACCTATTGTTCTATAATTGTGTCTACAAAACCGGTACTCGACGAGTTAATTAGTTTGTTTTGGATTACTTGCTCACATAATTACTATTAATGATTAAATAACTATTAAAAATAAAGATTATAACTAGCTTTAATAAGTTTTTATAATATCTAACGTGAGACATACTAAATTAACTAAAAGTGACACTGCTCACGCTGCTCATGAGGAAGAGCCCCTCTGTGGTTCGAAACTATTAGACCTTTTCTCATGATTTTTACGTGTGTAACCCGCGATTTGTAATTAGTTTTAATAAGTGTTATAGGGAAGTTAATGCACTTTGGTGGTAATTAGAATCCAGGACGTAATTGACTACTATAACACACGGTATAACGTTGACTTATGAGGTGCGACATCTTAACTCTTAGAGTTTGTATTCTAGACCTATTTTGATATTCTTTTCTTTGAGGTGCTTTGCGGTTGGGATCTTTACCTCTTTCAATCTCTCAATCCATCTCTATGCACCTCGATAACCCAGAAGGTTTATAATTGCTTCGATCTTATGATGTGAAATTATTATAATGTGGGTTGTACCACTGCTTTTAGACAAAACTTTATTTGGCGAAACAATAAAGATAAGGCACTTAATTATACTTTCTCAAGGTCACGAAGAATCTTTTACTGATTTAGGCAATTGCACTTTAACGAAAACAGCGATTGGTTTCGACACTATGAACTACCTACAGTCATCAGATTCTTTGTCTAACTTCAAGGTCAAAATAGAAAATAATTCGCAAGTCATTGAATTGAAACGTCATCACGTTTTTGGGATAAGCACAAATGACATTGAAAGTATATAAAACATTAGTTAGTCATGGTTGATGAACTGGTATAATATTATAAAATAATTTCGCACGTGCCGTGCATAGGCCATTATGTACAGACGATGGTAAACATCAAGGGGATTATACAGTGTGAAAAGGTTAAAGAACTCCAAATAGCTACGATAGAAACTGAAGACGAAGTCAGTTTTTTTTTTAAATTAACAGAATGATAATAAATGTGGCGAATGTTGATAAATTTATCCCATAGGTCGGGGAGTAGGAAGTCACTGTGAAATAGTGATTAATTTTACAATCCAATTTGCTGGTCATGTTGTTATTCCAATTATATTAGGGATAAACCTATTGAAGAGATTTGATCGATAGCAGAAACCTTGATCGGGGCCAGATGAATTGGAGTTTACTTTAACAAGATTTAAGTTGAGATTAACATTGTTTTTGTTTAAGAGTGTACTCGTTTTATGAATTAGTCATTAACTACTTCGAGAAATTAAAATATAATTTGTTTATAATACATATATAGGTACGTACTTTATACAGTTCTCCTCAGATATTCCCAAACAGAAAACTTAGTTATCCTAAAATGTAAAGCTGCTAATTACAATTTGACCATAACGGTAAAGAGAAATTTCGAAAAAGAATCTAAAAAAATGTCCTTCAATTTCCAAACTAGTTTATCTTCTACTTTATGGTAATGCAGATTTACATGAAACTACTGCCATTGCGCATAGTCTAATGATGGCCATAAATGCACTCGATTGCGCCAATAATGTGCATTTAATTGGAGGTCACAAAGTAGGTTGTATATTGTGATAATGATTTGTGACAAATATTGCGATTGCGCGGGCGCAGAACGGTCAGTCAGATTTCGAGTGCCGTGCGGGTACAGTGCCTTGTTTATTTACCGTACACGATTTCCGATCCGTTTATGTGATAATTGTGATTTTTTTTAACTGATAATCGAGAATTTTTCTTCTTTCGTGCTGTTTGAATAAAGGTTAGTGATTTTTTTTTTGTTTAATTTTCTTTTGCGTGTTGTGTTTTATGTTTAATTTTAGTTTTTACCGTTGCGTCGATAAACAACTGAAACATTTAAACCAATAATGAGGTTTTAATCGATTTTATGCGCAAATTGTTTACGGTCATTCGTATGTATGGAATGTTTTTCTTATTTTATTTACGGTTTTACTAATTATGAATGCGATAATTTAAATTTTTTCTGTATTAGTTAACTTCTATAGTACGAATTCAGTACGTGCCTGTAATATTTATTAGTAACTTTTTATCTCTTATTGAGATTAATCTAGTTTATAACAGTGATTGTAATTTTTTTTTTAAATTACATCTGGGCTAGCTTAGTTAAATGAATGAAAGAAATAAGTATTCCAAGAAAGTTCCAATCAAAAATTTTATTTAGAGGAATAGTTTGAATTGGGACTTTGAGTAGAATACTTTGAGTAGAGGTTAAAAATTTGAATAATGACCTATAATATGTTAAAAATGTTATAGTTTAAGATAAATTGTTAGAGAATAACTTAAAGTAGAATGGGGCCAGGAGAATACCAGCGCAAGGCCCTATGTTGCACATGCTAAACTGGTCCCATTTCACCGCTGATTTTTTTTTAGTGGCGGGAAGGTCAAACATTTACTTCTTCCACCTTGGGTTAGACGAGAGGGAGTATCAGACTCTTACTGAATAAAAACCACCCCGTTCCTACTCCTGCCATTCGAGCCGCCCCGGTAACCCGTTAGGCCATCCGCGGCTACATATCGGGCATCAGCCCTACTGGGCCGCATCCGTGGTGATCTGGTGGCTCTTCACCGTAGACTTGGGACATGAACACGTCTTCCATCAGTACCTATTAATAGATTAACACATTCGTACATGTCACATGTTTTTTTAGCATGAAATAAAGTATTTCTTTCTTAGATCTACAGTTTATAAAGTAAATTAGGACTTATTTGGGTACTGGAAACTTATTACGGTTTTGTATAGATAACTAAAGATGGAAATATGAACTCATTACTGTCAGTTCAGTTGAACTGTTATAAACGCGAATCTTAAAATTAGTTAATCCTCTATGAAATTTGAATGTTTCTGTTAGCTATCTCGTTTTGTAGTATTGCAGTAAATCCAACAGGCGGTAACGAGTATTTGTACTTGTTGTTTTGGTTGCTAGACGTAATCTTCTAAAAACATATTCCATTCGAACGCTGGATGCAAAGCCTGGCGTAAACTAACTGGAGTATTTTATTACACAGGTCAAATTTATAAATGAAATATTTCGTTTTTATAATATGAAATCGGTTTGTCCACATTTGCTAATTGGTTTGTCCATGTTTCTAGGGTCCATAGGTACATGTGTTATTACTATCTCGGTCATTTTAGGATGAGTAGCATTGAAGACTTAGAGTTCTAAGGACTTAGGCTATGATGACATCGACTTAAAAACCGCACTATTTATGCTGTAGTTACTTAGCAGCACTTAGAAATAATGGCTTCCTTTGATAAGTGTATGAAATGATCCGTAGCACGTCGAGAAAAATCTTTCATTTCACAAGAACAAAAAGTCTTTTATTTATAGAAGCTAGCAGAAGGTATTATTCAAATATTTGATTTTAAACCAAGTCTTTAGTCTAAAACAAATTTAAAGCATTTTTTAGAATCCTGTGTGGGCATTTTAAGGCTTAAAGACGCCCGCTTCTCATCCATAAGGATGCCGGTTCGAAAGGTAAGTACCAATGTGACTTTTCCCAGTTACATATACTTTTTAAGATTATTTAGATATCACTGACAAACGGTGAAGGAAAAAATCGTGAGAAAACCTAGAATTATAATTAAATTATAAGTTTGAAATCGCCAACCCGCATTGAACAAGCGTTTTTTGAAGAACAAGATGAGGCTTTTGGTCAGTAGTGGCCACTTATAGGCTGTTAAAATTGTTGTGTGCGAATTTAAATCTTATGTGCAGTTTCTATATAGAATGAATGGTTTCTAAGCTAAATTGCTTCAAGAAGCACATACAGTCCTTTTCATCTGTCTTTTCCAATGTTCAAGGCCATTATCCTATCTCAATGTATAAGGTTTTTAATGGTGAACGACTTGAGTTTCTATTTTTCTGTTCACTGAACGTAATCTAGGATTACACGTCTGGTGCACTTATGCGTTCAAATGTTTTGGTATTTTTTTTAATGGTTTCAGTAACATGCTGTATATGATGGTAATATCCTGACTGGTTTGTGAAAGGATTTAGTTATAGTAGGTGGACATTAGTAGTGTTTTTTTGCTTGTTTTTATGGGAGGCGTTACAAGTGCCGGTATTTTAGGAATTGGAAATTTGAGGATTGTAGGGGATTCGAGGATTGGGTAGACTGGGGAGGGGGGTTATTGGGCCTCCAGGAATCACTCACAAGACGAAATACAACGTAAGCGTTGTTTTACGTCGGTTTTCTGTGAGGCCGTGGTATCACTTAACTGTATAGTATGTATAATTACATTATGTCTGTCAGAAACATTAATTTTATACGTATTTTTTTAAATTGGCTCGGGTTACTCCACGTTGTGTCATATCAATACATAGTATAAAACAAAGTCGCTTTCGCTGTATGTCTGTATGTATGCTTAGATCTTTAAAACTACGCAACGTATTTTGATGCGGTTTTTTTTAATAGATAGAGTGATTCTTAAGGAAGGTTTGTGTGTATAATACATGCATATTGCACCCGTGCGAAGCCGGGGCGGGTCGCTAGTTCTGAATATTATTAATTATCCAGGAATTGAATTTATTGACTGTTTGTCATAGTTATTGACTTCTCGGAAAATAAAACAAAGCGTTAGTGCTCTGTTGACGCAATTTACTGTAATAAAATTACGCTGTTGGTTTTCTTCTATTAATTGTCATAAAGTTTAAGCGTAATAAATTACTATTTTACGACAAGTGTAATAACGTGATTGCGACTATAATTGTGAATTTATGATTAATGAAAAATTCCCTTTATTTACTTTTAATCTTTTTCAAGAGTTAATGTAGTGTGTTTTCTATTTTAATCGATGTTTTATTAATGATTCTATAGTTTATAGCCAGATCAGGTCAATCAATCATATACATCTGCAGCTCATCTGTCTATAGATTACTCATCACTCCATACAAAGAAAAGACATAACAGATATGTCAGTAGAGTATGTGTTGGAGATATGCGCAACTGAATTACCAAATGAAAATTTACTACTCATAACTATGTACTGGAACAGAAGGGAAGAAGAAGCTTTTTACAAACAATTAAAGGAAGTACTAATATATGTAAACTTAAAATACCCAAAATTAAATATTGTTATAGGAGGTGATTTCAATATCGATATTCTATCTGAAGACTTAAAAACAAATCGGTTATTAGATTTAATGCAGGAATATAAATTAAAACAACACATTAAAATACCAACACGCACCACACTTACAACAAAAACATGCATAGATTTGATATTCACAAATTTCAAATTTGATGGCATGTACACAACAGTAGAAGAATTCGGATTCTCAGATCATAATGGTACGATTTTACATTTAAATATACCCCAACAAACCAAACAAACAAATTGGCATACAAAGAAAAGATTCTTTAGCAATAAAAATATACAACTGTTTAAAACTCAATTACAGAATGAAATTTGGAATGAAATTATAATACCGGGACAAAGCATTAACAAAAATTATGAAGCTTTCAATAACACTCTAATAAAAATTCTGAATGAATGTATACCCTTACAAAAAATTAAACTTAGAACGAATTATAATAAATATTGGCTTTCTAAAGGAATAAAAAAACCTTGTAAAAATAAAAGGTTACTAAAAATACTAGTAACTAAAACTAAAAACCCAATTCTAACAAAGTACTATAGAAACTACGAGAAAATATTAAAAAAGGCTATAGTGATAGCAAAAAAACAACATTTTAAAAATGAAATTCGAATATCAAATAATAAAATAAAGGCAATGTGGAGAATTGTAAACGAACGAACAAATAAAAAAATGAAACGTGAAAACAATAATATGACTCTGCAAACAAACGATGGTCAAACTTCGGAACCAGGAGAGATAGCCGATATATTTAACATTTTTTTCGCTTCTATTGGAGAAACTGGAACGAGCCAAACAAACACTAAAAATAAAGGTATCCATCCTGTTGTCTCCTCTACAGAGAATAGTGTCTTCATAAGCCCAGTAGATCCATCTGAAGTCAACACATTAATAAAAAACTTAAAAAACAAATCAAGCTGCGGTATAGACGACCTTCCCCCAACTTTATTTAAAAATTGTGCAGATGAGCTTACTTTGCCATTTTACAAACTAATCAATCAATCGTTTGAAGAAGGAGTGTTCCCTGACCTCTTAAAAAAAGCCCTTATCAAACCAATACACAAAAAGAATTCAAAAACCGACCCAAGTAATTACCGACCAATTGCACTTTTACCTACAGCATCAAAAACACTCGAAAAAGCCATGTGTAACAGAGTATACGCGTTTTGTGAAAAGTTTAAAATATTCAATGATAGTCAAAACGGTTTCCGAAAGAATCGATCTACTACCTTAGCAGTATACAAGTACGTACAAAAAGCACTTAGTATCATAAACGATAAAAAATACGCTATAGGTTTGCTGTTAGACATGACCAAAGCCTACGATAAAGTACAATTCCAAATTTTGTTAAATAAACTATATAACATAGGAATACGCGGAAAATGTTATGATTGGTTTGTTTCCTACTTACGAAACAGAGAACAACTAGTAGAAGTGCAATATTATAATAAAAAAACAAGCGAAATAGAATTAGTCCGATCAAAATACTTACAAATCGAAGCTTCTATACCGCAGGGAAGCGTTATTGGTTGTTTTCTCTTCCTTGTGTATATAAATGACCTTCCAAGCCATATAAATGAAACTTGTGTTTTGTTTGCGGACGACATATCCATAATGACCGCATATGACTGTACTACTAACC